TCCTCACCTACCCCAATCACTTCTTCTTGCCCTCCCCTATATAATTTCTCTCTACCATCCGTCAAAGTACGCCCTGCTCTCGTGTGCAATCCAGCCATTTGGCTCTCCCAAGTGAACTCTCCTCTGCCTGAACCACATGACGGTCTCCTTTCACCAATCCTTACAAGCATTCAGAGGCTGTGGCAGGAGGTTGGCAAGTTCAAGTCCAGCAAGAACTCTGGGTTACAAACAAAGCAAGAAAAACTGGGTGTAGCCGGGCGCTGGTGGCTCACACCTGTCATCCTAGCTACTCAGGAGGCTGAGATCTGAGCATCATGGTTCAAAGCCAGCCCGGGCAGGAAAGACCGTGAGACTCCTATCTCCAATAAACCACCAGAAAACCAGAAGTGGCGCTGTAGCTCAAGTGGTAGAGCACTCGCCTTGAGAGCTGAAGAGCTGAGGGACAGCGCCCAGGCCCAGAGTTCAAGCCCCACGACTGACCAAAAAAAAAAAAAACAAAGAAAGAAAGAAAAACTGGGTGTAGAGTGCTTGTCTGGCCTGCTTGAAGCTTTAAGTTTGGTTTCCATCACTAAAAGTAACCAAAAGTAAAGTCAAAATTGGCTACCTAGAATTCTTAGTGACTCAGGAGGCTGAGGTCTGAGGATCAAGGTTTAAAGCCAGCCAGGGCAGAATAGTCTGTGAGACTCTTTTTTTTTTTTTTTTGTCAGTCATGGGTCTTGAACTTGGGGTCGGGACACTGTCCCTGAGCTCTTCTGCTCAAACACTACCACTTTGAGTCACAGCACCACTTCCAGTTTTCCAGGGGTTAATTGGAGATAAGAGTTGCACTGACTTTCCTGCTGGGGCTGGCTGAGGATCTCAGTCTCCTGAGTAGCTAGGATTACAGGCATGAGCTACCAGTGCCCAACCAAAAGTCAGATTTTGAACTAGGTCCAGGGAGCCAGAACCCAGCTGGCAAAGGGGAGAAAAGGGGGCATCGGTGGTGGGGGAGACCCCAGGCTTCCTGAGGGATGGAGAACAAGGTGATAGGCTGGGAATCTGGAACTTTCGAGGGAAGGGAAACAGAAAGTTGGCATGGGGCTTCAGGAAAGGATGTGTTTGCTTTGAGGCACAGGGTGTCTTAGGGTTGGGGTAGCTGTGGTCTTAGGGGCCATTTGGCCTGGGAATAGAGTTCTGCCATTCATCAGACACATCAGGCTCTGCTGCACCTTCACTCAATCCCATCCAAAGCCAGGTGAGGGGCCCAGGGAAGAGGCACCCCAGGCTTCCAATCTCCCCCCACAGATCTCCCTCTGTCCTCTCCATGGGCAACCCCAGTACCCACAGCAGTGCCAGCTTCTCTTCCCCTCCAGGAAGCTGAGGATGCACAGCTTTCCATGGCTGCTACCCCCACCTCAGCTTGGCCAAAGCCAAGGAGGGCCCTTCTCCCTGCACCCCCTGGGGCCAGTGCCCTCAGGGGGCAGCACGCAGTGCCAGGGGAAGCCGGGGGGGGCATGATCTGGAGCGAGCAGGCTTCCTTCCTCTGTCTCCCTTGGCCTGGAAGCCTGGACAGAGAGGCAAGGTAACCTGGCATCGGTGACAGGGAACAGCCAGGCACCTGTGGCTCACGCCTGTAATCCTGGCTACTCAGGAGACTGAGATCTGAGGACTGAGATTTGAAGCCAGCTCAGGCAGGAGAGTCTGTGACCCTCTTATTCCCAATTAGACTCCAAAAAGCCGCAAGTGGAGCTGTGGCTCAAAGGAGCACTAGCCTAGAGCAAAAAAAAAAAAGCTCAAGGACAGCACCTAGGCCCTAAATTCAAGCCCCAGGACTAGCACACACACACACACACACACACACACACACACAGAGTCTAGTTGGGAATCTGGGACTCAGAGTGATTGATGCTCTGTGGCTTTGGTCAAGATGCTTCCCCTCTCTGGGCATTCTTGGTAAATCATGACCTCCTTCCTCACCCTAATCTGGCTCTCAAAGGCTGGGGGCCTTTGCACCTCAGTCAGACCACAGAGGGACGTCATCTCTCCAGACAGCATCCTGGCCACCCCCATCGCCTGATTTTCTCTTGGTGTGTTTCATCACCCTGCCTTCTCTTTGCCCGGCCCATGCAATCTCCGAGGCCCTAGTGGGTTCTTTTGTCTGTTGTCTGTCTGCCCCTTGCCCCGGAGCTCAGTGTCTCTGGGACTCATGCAATTGCAGAGGCGGGGATTGGAGAGCCGTGAAGATGCTCCAGCCCCAGAGTCCAACCAGCCTGGGTGCCAATGAGCCGCCCAGCTCACCAGCTCAGTTCACTCGGGCGCCCCGCCTCAGTTTTCTCTTCTGCAGAGTGGGTCAGACTCATGGCAGAGGCCCGCACTGGCACCCCATGTCAGTTCCCCCCTCAAGGGAGTAGGGGTGTTGTGGGGACTAATCCAGATCCATTTCTTCCTCCTTTTCTCCCTTCAGTGTTTTGGGGTGGGGGCAGATGTTTTTTTCTGGTGCTAGGATTTGAACTCAGGGCTTTGAGCTTACCAGCCAGGCGTTCTGCTGCTGTGCTCTTCTTCCATACTAGGGATGGAACCCAGGATTTTACTTATGCTAGGGAAATGCTTAACCACTGAGCTTTCTCACCAACCCAGGCCCCCTTTTCTTACATGGTAAAGAAGATTCAAAATGTATCATATGCCTACAACCTGGGGGTGTTAAACCCTGAGTCCCCCTGCGTCTGCCAGCATGTTTGGCTAACAGGTGCCCCTCCTGTGGAAGCCCAGGATGTTGTCCTGGTGCCCCTCAGGAATAAGTTTTCTTGTTGTTGTTTCATTTTGTTTTAGGCAGCACTGGGGCTTGAACTCAAGGCCTTGCACCTGCAAGGCACATATTCTACCACTGAGCCACACCCTCAACCGTTTTTCCTGTTCGTTATTTTTAGGAGAGGGTCTTGTTGCCTAGAAGGCCTTCTGATCTGTCTATTCTAGTCTTTCTGTCATAGCGGGAATGACAGTCTCCATCTATGGAGATGAACTCTTCTGCCTGAGCTGGCTTGGATCTGCGATATTCCTAGTCTCAGCCTCCCAACTCACTAAGGTGACAGGCACGGGACACCTGTGCCTGGCTTCCAGGGTCGTTCTAAACACATACAGAGTCTCTCAAGGTCAGTATGGATCAGTTCGGATCTTGTCTGTTCCCCAGATTTGGAAGTAAGGGCCCAGAGACCCAAGCACCTGAGCAAGGTCACACAGATCGATGGGAGGGGCATAGATGAGACTTGGAACATAGATCCACCTGACTCCTACTGTGCATGCCCACCCTGTCCCATTGCTGGTTAGCCAGTCCTTTCTGAGTGAGCACCCACCCACCCTCTTGCAATGCTTAGGGTGCCCTCTGAGCTCCAGACACAGATGTCCCTGTCCCCCAAAAGGATCCATGAGCACATTACATAGTGGTGCACACCTACATGACTCATGTGCACCTGCAAACACACACTCTCTTACACACACACACACACACACACACACACACACACACACACTCACACATCCTTACAAACACGACACGCAGGCTTTGAGCTTGAAGAAAAACACACACTCACCAGCATGGACAATACACATACCACAGCCACCACTCCCGTTAGCAGACACCCCCACAGTAGCCCTGCCACCCCCACCTCCCAGGGAGGCCCAGGGCTCTGCCATAAAACAGGTAACAGCCAGGCCCGGGTGGCTCACGCCTGTAACCCTAGCTACTCAGGAGGCTGAGAGCTGAGGATCACCATTCAAAGCCAGCCCAGGCAGGAAAGTCCACGAGACTCTTATCTCCAACTACCCACCAAAAAAAGGCAGACGTGGACCTGTGGTTCAAGGAATAGAGCTCCAGCCTTGAGGGGAAAAAAAAAACCCTCAGGGACAGTGCTTAGGGCCTGAGTTCAAGCCCCAGGACTGACACAAAAACAAACCAATGGAGCACGTAACTGAGGAGGAGTGGCCTCAGGCTGGCACCGCAGCTGAGTGACACGTGAGTTCTCCACCAAAGCCCAGCCTGTGGACATCTCTAACCACCTAAAGACCCTTCCCTCAGGAATCCTGGGCCCCCAAACTCCCCCTTCCCACTCCCTCCCCCCCCCAAAAAAGCAACAGGTAGACAGTGACTTTAGAAACGAGGAAAATGTTTAAATACATGTTAGCAAAATATTACCATTAAATACACATCATAAATAAGCCTTATAAATATGAAACCGATTAAAACTGATATTAAAAAATAAAAACAATAAATTAGTCTTGTGTCTCCAAGGAATCTGCCCCGCAGTTTCACATGGGGAAAATCCCATGTCTCGCCACCAGAGGGCGCAGTGGAGGACTGAGGAGGGGGGAACGGGGATTCGGTTTGCACCCTTTCCTTGTTCCTTTGCACCATGTCCCTATATCCCAGACAGAGAGGGTGAGGCATCTCACATCATCCTCCAAACCCACGCTTCCCAGAGAAAACCAGGGAGGTAAAGAGACCTGCCTAGGGTCACACAGCAAGTAGGAGCTGAGCTGGAACATGAGCTCCATACCCAGATCCTTCTAGACGCTCCTCCCCCCCCCAGTTCCCCCCCTCTCCAGGATCCTGTCACCAGTGCCTAAGGTGAGATCACCCAGACAGCTAGGTGTCTGGCCTGAGCAGCGGTGTAGGAGGCCAGCTCAGGCCCTGGCCTCCCCCTCCCAACCTCACCACCACGGAAAGAAGGAAGTCTGGGATAAGTGTGCCAGTCATGAGAGGCAGGGCGGGGGGCAGGCAGCCGGGGAGACAGGGGGGCTCCCATCCGCCCAGCCATGAGTCAGCTTGTGTCATCAGACCCCTGAATCAATGGAAAGTCGCACCCTCGTGGCCTGACCAGCCACCCCACTAAAAATGGGGGACCTCCAATAGTCTAACTCTTGTCCCCTCATCCTAGGCGTTTTTCCCCTTAAAGTTCACCTCTGCAGTTGGGGAAGAGATGTGGAAATGGGGGTGAGGGGTGGGGGACAGAATCCTGCCCCTATGCATGTCCAGCTACCGGGGCCGCCGGCTCCGGAACGTGGTCCTGCGGGTGGCTTTGTGCAGGTGACCTCGGGGGGGGCTGTGTCTCCGGCTGCGGCGGGGGCTCTCCCCCCATTCCCTGAAGATCGTCCCCACGGCCTGCATGAAGCCGTGGTAACCACACAGGAACTTGCAGCCGTCCAGCTTGGCTTGAAAGAGGCGCGGGCTGGGGGTCGGAGATCCACGCGTGTCCGCGTCTGCCCGCGTGGGCTCAGGCGTCTGCAGGGAGCTGTTGAGCAGCCAGGCCACACAGTGGAGGTTGTTCCGGAGGCCGAGGACAGTCCACCTGGCAGCCTGCAGCTTCGGGGCGTCCTTGGTCTCTGAAAACTGCGGGCGCAGGGTGTCCAGGCCGTGCAGGATGCGGCCCAGGGTGGCGTAGACGGTCCTCAGGAAGCCGGCCTTGCTGAGCGCCCGCAGGCCGGCCTCGCTCGGGAAGACCCCGCGGCACTCCCGGCACAATTCCCGGAGGGAGGACGGGTCCAGGCCTTGGTGCTGGATCTGCAGGGTGGGGAGGAACAGGGCAATCAGGGGGTTCACATGAACGATCCCCCTTACTCTTCCCTGCCCGTGGATGACTATACATCCCTATCTGATCAGCCCCAAGGGCAGATGGGGAAACTGAGGCCCCCTGGGGAGGCCAGAAACCCTGAGCTTATGGGAAGTCGGGGTGCAGTGGGTGGGGAGGGAGGGAGGGCTACATGGGTTGGGGGTACAGGAATGAGGGTGTGCCTGCAGAATGGAACGGGGCTTCCAGAACGCTGGACTGTTTTGTTCCTGGCTGCATCCAGGTGTCTCTAGGCCAGCAGATGAGTCCAGAAGGGAGGGATGGAGTCTGGAAATTCCCTCAGGGCTTTGGTTGGGATAACTCAGACTCAGTTTCCCCATCTGCCACCTCCTCTCTGGCTGAGCCCCACAGCCCTCCACAGGGGTCAGGCACTCACATAGGGTTCCAGGAGGGTGTCGCTGGCGGCGGTGGCATTGAGCAGATTCTGGAGCTGGAGAAGGAGGTGCGGGATGGAGCTGGGACAGCCACGCATGGCCGCAGCGGCCCTCAGCAGCAGGACCCCGAGGGCCAGACCTGGGGCACAGAGGGGCAGGGTCACCTGATCAGCAGTGAGGATCTCAGGGTGGAGGTTCATGAGGTCCTGGGAGAGTGCACCCCCACCCACCCCCAGCAGAAGCAGGGCACTGCTGTGTGCGCGCACCCAGGGACACGGGCTGGACACACGCCACACCACATCCCCTGGCTGCGACCATCATGGGGCAGAGAGGTACCGGGATGGTGGTTTCAGGGCCCCCCCGCACCAGCTAGAGCTCAAGCGTGGCCCAGACTGACTCATCTGCCACTGTCCTGACTTTTCTACCATGCTGGTGGCCTGCCCAGAGACCCTGGACCTCTCTGTAGAACGGACAGGGATGGGTCAGGTCACAGCCCATTCCACTGACAGATACACTAAGTTCTGCCCAGGGCACCCAGCTTCTCACGCTTTCCTCTTCTCCCTCCAGAAATGCTGTGAACCCCTGAGAAAGTAGCAAAGGGGGGGTGGTGGTGGCAGTTCCAGCTCATTGCCCCCACCCCCACAGGCACGGGCAGCCACGTGGTCGGAAGCCTTCCCCCCTCTCCCCCCGTGGCGCAATGGCCCGGAAGGCAATGACACCATCCACCCCTTCCTATCAGCCAGCCGCCGTGCTGAGAGGACCAGCTGCCCAGTTGATCTGGGGCCAAGCACCCCGGGGGACGACCACCACAAGATGGTCACCCTGGCCCACCACACAGGTGTCAGTGGTGGCAGCCCACGGCCTGTGCGGAACAGGGCCTCTGGTCCACAGAGGTGTACCACCAAGCTGGGCCACGCGAGCCTCTGGGTAATACCTGCTCTGATGGGGCCTGGGGTGCAGGTGCGGCTCCTCCAGCAGGTGAGCGCCAAGGCCCTGGACACTGTCACAGGCCGTCTGTGTGTGTGTGTGTGTGTGCGTGTGTGTGTCACCCCCCCCCGTGGGTGTGGCTCCTTGTGCCGGGGGACCATTGTGGGAGTTCCCAGGGGGTCCCCTGAGGCCTGACTGACTTTCTGTTCCTTCCAGATCCTGAAGATAAAATTGGGGCTAGGAGGAGGAAGAAAAGGAAGGCCCCATCTAAACCCATCTTACTTCATTCCCCCCCCACCACCACCACCACACACACCCTTACTGACTTCTGGTACTTTCCAGAAGGTATGGCCCCTTCTGCCTGCCTCCTTATTCCCAGCTGCTTCCCTCCTCATCCTCTTACCTCCCACCCCAGACCTCCAAATTGTCTCGATTTCCACTTTCCTGCTTCTGCCTGACTTCCTGGCCTCTCCTGTCTCCAACACCTGGTGCCAAGCCTGCCTGGGTCTAAGAGGCAAAGGGTGCCGCCCCTGCTCCTCACCAGCTGGTACAGCTGTGCCCCGGTGCTGGCAGAAGGAAGGAAGTACTTACAGAGCAGTATTCTCTGGGTGATCTGCGCCCGCATAGCTGGGTGCCCGTACTGTGGCCTGCGCCTTTGGGGGTAACACCTCCCAGCTTGGAACCCTGTGGGCTGGCAGCCACTTTATGCCCGGGCCCGGGGCGATTGGCCAACACCTCGTGAGGTGGGTGGGGAGGGGGAGGGGGAGGGGGAGGGCAGGCCTTCTGGGAACATAACCCCAAAAACCAAAGTTTTCATCATGGCCAATGGGCGCTGGGCATCACGACGTGCCTGCTCCCCCTCCTGTTTTCTTCGAATTCATTCTTCGAGGGCAACCCCACGCCCAAGAATGAGTGATGTAAAATATAGCCTCAGCTTTCTTGGGAGTCAGCGGGCAGCAAAAGCGTCCGTGTCATCTCCAGGGGTCTGGTCCAGGGTAGGAGGGACAGCTTGCAATCCCGGATCCGTTGGATTCCTCTCCTCCCCACCCCACCCCCCCGCCCCCTGCCAATCTTGTCCATTGGCCTTACACAGCACCAAGTTTTGGGGGCAGAAAAGGGGTGAGCCATCTTCCTTGTTGAATGCCCTTCCCGCCCTCCCTCTGGGGTTGTTGGGACATCTGTAAGCAGAAACCACTAGGCTCTGGGCACAGAGCCAGAGCCAGCCTGGTAGCCCCGAGATTGTGGCTCTAGCCTTAGTAATTACATCTCCAGTATGACATCCCCTACCAAATTTTCCCATACTAAGTCCATTGCCCACAGCCAGGCCTCTTCTCTGCAGCCTGGGGAGGGTGGGGGGGTGGTCTTGGGGGAAGAACTGGCCATTCAGAAGAAGAGAAAGAGAAAAGCAGGCCTTCTGATGTGTTGTGTGACCTGAGGCAAGTCATTCAACCTCTCCATGCCTTGCAACATGGACAGCAGAAAAGTGTGGCCAGGTCCACCTTTCCCGGGCCACTGCCCAAACATGGGCATAAAAGGACAAAATTTAAAAAAAGGAGATGAAACTCTTAATTCCAAGTACTAGTTTTCGGGGGACAGGATGGGGGAAGCTCGCGAGATCGGAAGGGGAAGCCGAGGGGTGGGGGCTGCCACGGCGGCGGTTGGAGCCCCGGTTTCACTTTCTCTGAAAGATAGCGATCGTGGGTTGGTCCCTGGGTTTCTTGAAGACACAGGAGCCAGAAAGAGCCAAAGTCCTGGAGGCACTGTCACCCTGCTGCTTCACTGTGGGGGGAAACTGAGGCCCAGGGATAAGGCTAGACTAGAAAATTCAGGGATTGGTTCAGGTCTCCATTAGCAAGTCTAGCAGGCCCAGAAAGAGGACCTTCAGCAGAAGGGGGGGGTGGAATGCCAACGCAGGGCCCCTAAGACTTGCCTGGGGGGGCTGTGTTGATCCAGGGGAGAAGAGGCTCTAAGCACCCCCCCCAACCCCAAACCGGAGTCTCAACTATGAAGGGCGGAGAAGCCATCAAGGCCACTCCCACCTGCTCGCTCTCTGTGTCTGACAACTCTGATGCTCATTCAACCAACTGGATCTGGTGCCAGGCAGACCTAAACACTGACAAGCCCACCCTAGCAGCTGCTCTGCTCCTCCTGCGGCCCCCAGCGCCGGCCCTGCAGGCCTCCTCGCCCCCACCTCGCCACCCTCCTGGGCCAGTTCTGGATCCACAGCCTGAGATGGTGGCTTCCTTCCTCGGAATTCCTCACCCCTGCCCTCCCCCTCCCCCCCCTGCTCCCCCCCCTCCCCCATCCCAGCAATGCTGCTTCCCAGGACCCTGGCCAAACCAGGAACGCCTGCATTTTACACAGCAGCCCCGGGGAGGGAGCTCCCTTGGTTTACTCTGATGAGGAAGCAGAAGCTCCAAGAAGTCCAGGGGCTACTCAAGACCTGAGCTGGAGCTGGCTAGAGAGGTCCTCGCCCCCAACCTCTCCCCATGACTGACCCCCACACTCTCCTCTTCTCCTCCCCTGTTTAATGACACCTCTGGAGGGCAGAGAAGTGAGCCTGCCCAGTCTGAGGCCACCCTGAAGACTCTGAGAGAGCTAAAGGCCAGACTAGGTGGTGCATGACTGTAATCCCAGTTATTCAGATGGTAGAAACAGGATAGAACATTCTAGGTCACTCTGGGCTACACAGCAAGACCCTGTCTCAAAATATAATAAAAAGAGCTAGGCGCCTGGGGCTCATAGCTGTAATCCTACCTACTCAGGAGGGTCTGAGATCTGTAATCTGAGGATTGTAAGTTCAAAGCCAGCCTGGGCAAGAAAGCCCGTAAGACTTATCTCCAATAAATTACCGGAATAGCTGGAAGTGGTGCTGTGGCTCTAGTGGTTGAGCACTAGCCTTGAGCAAAATAAGCTCAAGAATAAAGCTCAAGCCCTGAGTTCAAGCCCCAGGCCTGGCATCAAAAGACAATTAAGTAAGTAAGTAAAAATAATAGCCAGGCACCAGTGGCTCACACCTGTAATCTTAGCTACTTGAGAGGCTGAGACCTGAGGATCATTATTTAAAGCCAGCCTAGGCAGGAAAGTCCATGAGACTCTTATCTCCAATGAACCACAGAAAGAGCCAAAATGGCACTGTGGCTCATGTGGTAGAGCACTAGCCTTGAGCAAAAAGGAGATCAGAGACAGCACCCACGTTCAAGTCCCAGGACCTGCAAAATAACAACAATAGTAATAACAATAAAAAGGATTGGGTGGAAGCTCGGGATAATGTGCTTGGGAGGGGGATGGGGGTGCTCTCCCGGGGACAAGGAACAAGGTCACCAAAGGACCATGTGTGTGTGTTTGCTGGTAAGCAGTTGGTGTTCACATGGAATTGGCTGCAGCATCCCCAAAAGACACCAAAATCCTGTCCAGTAGATTTTTAAATCATCTCTAGATTTTTTTTTATAATTCTAATACAATGCAAATGTTACGGAAACCATTGTAATACCCTAACGTTTAGGAAACTGTTTAGGAAACAGTATCCAGGCAGAGAGCTCCCCCAGGGGACTAAGAACACTTTCCATCAACCATGGGTTGAACCTTCTGGCTCTGAGACCAGGGTGTGGGTGTGGCCCGGAGTGGGCGTGATCTGTTGTGGGCGTGGCCGGGAGTGGGCGTGGCCCTGGGACCCTGCACCAAGAGTTTGCATGGCTTCAACAATGGAAAAGAATATCCCTGGCTGGGGAGCTGACAATCTGGCACCAAGGCACCTGAGGTTGGTTCCTTCTGGCTTGTTATTGGCTGGCTGTTATTGTCGGTCTATATGTTTATCTGTGTCCGAATATTTCTCTTTGTGTGTGTGTGTGTGTGTGTGTGTGTCCTGAGGCTTGAACTCAGGGCCTGACTTGTTTTTCTTGGTTTTGTTTTGTTTTGTTTGCTCAAGGCTGGTGCTCTACCATTTAGGCCACAGCTCCACTTCTGGCTTTGTGTGTGTGTGTGTGTGTGTGTGTGTGGTTAATTGGGCATAAGAGTCTCAAGTTTCTTTCCCTGGCTGACTTTGAACTGTGATTCTCAGGTCAGCCTCCTGAGTAGCTGGGATTACAGGAGTGAGTCATCAGCACCTGGCTTGCTTTTCTCTCTCTCTCTCTTTCTCTCTTTCTCTCTGTCTCTCTTTCCTTTCTTTTTTTTTTTTTTGGTCAGTCGTGGGGTCTGAACTCTGGGCCCGGGCGCTGTCCTTGTACTCTTCAGCTCAGAGTGCTCTACCACTTAAGCCACAGCGCCACTTCTG